TAACTTAGCCGTCCTTGCCCCACTCAGTATCATTGACATTGCTTATTTAGTTGGTATGCCACAAGATATTGGAGTCGATGCCGCACAATATTTCTTTTTTCTTTGTTATTTTGTTATTTTCCTCTTTCCTTTCATCTGTCTTGCATCAATAAGTGGCGTGAAAAGAAAATTTCAAGAAAAAATACTTCGTCAACGACCACAACTTCGAAGATTAACGGCAACTGTCAAACCTGCGCGGCCCAGAACAAATACGATCATGCAGCACTAAATGAAGCATTTTGAAACTCAATTTGTTTTGTTTTTTTAAAGTTCAACTATTTTCAAATCAGAGGAAAAAAAATCAATTATAAAATATAATAGATCATTGTATTACTTTGATATTTGCTGTTTCCAAGGATGCCATAGTAGTAATAAAGGGTGTCTCAAAACTCATGATCACTTAACAAATGTATACAGCCCCACTTTTGAGTAAGTTTAATTAAAAGTCTTTTTTATTAGAAAGAGGAAACTAGTAAGTTTTTCTTCTTAAAGACTAAGTTCATCAACATAGTAGAAAGTGCAGCACTTCGGGCTACAACATGAAAATTAGGTTTTTCTTCATTGTTAAAAATGATATTATTATTGTTTTCGAAATTTACTCGAATTTATATGACCATTCTGACTGTGAAATCATTGAGATGTTTTATCCTGACTTTACAAAAACTAATTCTGATATAGTTTGATGACAACCAAGAGACCGATCAATTTTAATGACAGATGAGTTATAAAATGCTTGACTTACTCGTTTCTACGATTAATTGAGTTTTTGAGAAGCCATGAACAATCTGCTTTAAAGAAAGATACTAAAGATTCGATTCTTTTAAAATGTGTCAAACAAATAACTGAAAACCTGTAACAAAAGATTTGAATGATCTCATAGTCATAATCATAATAGATATTCGAGTAAATTTCGAAAATAACAAAAAGTGTCGTTTGTAACATTAAAAAGAAAAACCTAATTTTTATGTTATAGCCCGAAGTGCTACGCTTTCTATCGTGTTGATGAACTTGGTCTTTAAGAATAAAAACTTACTAGTCTCTTTTTCGAATAAAAAGAGCTTATGCTTCAGCTTACGCAGTGGTAAAGCGTTATATATTTGTTAAGTGACCATGACTGTTGAAACACCCTGTATAATTGAAGGGTATGAATGTAAGTGTGGATATTGTTTAAAAGAAGACACCCACATTCCACATACTGACACTATTGAAACTGGAAGAAAGTTGATCTGCCAGTTGAAAGTTTGATGAGTGGTTTTTTATTAGGGCCGGTCTCTACGTAAACCGCCTCTGCTCGTCACCTGCTAAAATTTACTTTGATACTTGAAAAAAGTACCCGCAAAAATTATAAGGAAAGACACATGATTATTTGTCGCCAAACGGAGAAATTTATTGGATATTGTCTTGAGCAAATATTGTTCACACATTACAGTATGATATTTTCAGCAAAATATCAGTTTAATCGCCGAAGACAATACTCACGAAAGCTTGAATACAAAGAGTTCAATTTTCGAAATGGATTTGAAAATAGAAGCGCTAATTACCAGTAAATAAACAATTAGAATGCGAAAGATCTAGTTATACATGCATGGATGAAGGTCCACTTTTTGTGAAGCGAAGCTTTTTCAATCAGTTCGTAGCTGAAAAATGAATTTTATCACATAAAACTCTGATTTCTATGACTCTTGCAAAAATACCCTAACTTTCATGACCAGCTGAATAAAAAACTTCAATTATTGGAGAGATATCATAAACGACACTGCATTCTTGGTCGCGCCGTACCTGTCTTTACAGAAAAATCATGCAAATATCGCAATAACTTACTACCCATTCAGTTTCGCAGGAAGCGCAGAAATGAGAAAATGATCGTTCTGGACAGCGCTTTTCAATTTATAAAGACAAATGTTGACTTGCTGTCAGATCGCCGGCCCGCTTCATTGGCAGGTACGGTAATATTGATATTCTTTTACTTTCCAATCTGTTCCGTCAATCAAATGATTCATCTTCCTTTAAGTGACATTCCCATGCTTGCTTCAATTTACGGCGATACGATCTTTGAGCGTCTCGATACAACTATTCAATGGACACCCGACGGTGATTCATGCACATCAGCTCCACTCGACAAGAGAGGCCTTCTGCCATTGCAGTTAAAAAAGTCCATAGGCCATGCATACATAGTATCCGCTAACTGAATACCAATATAACTCGATCCGGTGACGCTATCACAATTAAGCGTTTGAGTTCGACGACTTACGTCGCTCAGAGTCAAATGAACCGATTCGGTAGTCGTACTGGCATTCTTTCCTTGACATCCACCTCCTACTATATCATTTCATCGCCATTTACGACCGTGTTCGATAATGTTTCGTCTGCCGGGAATGTTATATTTTCTATCGTTATAAGATTGATTTTTGTTTGTTTTAACAAGTAGATCTGGACACAATAAGAGACTACCTTTCGAAGCAAGGCAGACGATACATGTTCTCTAGTAGATAGAATTATTTGTCGATGCTGATAGTAATGCTTCATTGGTGACCAATAGATTATCACCTGTTATAGGGATGACATTGCAAACACCCATTTACCACACTAAATCTTTCAATAAAAAGCTGCTTTCGAATTTGAAAATTAGAGTAAACCTGATGACTTTTCAAAGTTAATTCAAGCGTTGTTCAAAACTGACTTCAATAAATTTTCTCAAAGTTTCACGACAAATAGATCTCAACTAGTTAAGTAAAATATCTGTAAGAATCAAGATTCTACTATGCCTCTTTTCGACGAATGAATGGGATCGCTATAGATCCGAATGACACGTGCGTATATGTAATTGCTCGTTTAGAATTTTAACGTTGCATGAGACTATTGTTGAAGTATTCTTCTGAACACTTTATCAACACGAACAGTCACAACCACGTAATTTTACAAACTCTTCATGTTCTTGCCGCATCAGTCTCAATTATAGTTATCAATAAGCGAGTGATACGTCATTTGAAATAAATCATTTCACCGTATCACAAGACATATTGATTAGAATCCCGTGAATACATGCTCACTCCACTGTAGCCTTAAATATTTTTGCGGATACTTATGCATCATAGGCTGCTATTCTTCAAATGAGATTTCTGGTAACTGTTCATGAATATTTTTTGACTCACGATGCTCTTGCGATTGAATTCAAAAGGTACAAGATTAGCTAGGGGTTGACTCCTAACGAAACATTCACAAAATTTTTGTTTTATGACTGATGAAATTCAACGTTTTCAATGTTAAGAAACTCTCGTAGTATTTTTTATAACATCTCTATGAATATCGTTCTGATCGATTATTTTACTGTGGTGTCCTATGCGAACCTGTAAAGATAATAATAATAATATGATGTTGTCCTTTTGCCATTACAATTTGCACCATATATATGCATCAGGTACTCTAGGAAAACGACGTAGAAAGAATAGGAAGAAATAAAATGTTCGAAATAGAGAAGAACAACAAATCAATACTACAGAAAAAGCTGTTAGCGAGATTCCTGAAGAATTAAAATATGAAACACGATTTTGCTATTGTTGCTAATCATATGAAAATTGTTTTATTCGATCTATTTTGGAACACATTTCTTCGTCATTCTCTACTTGATTCTCTAGAACTACATTAAGGAAATAACGGATGGAGCAGATTAAACGGACGCGTTTTACATTTCATTTTTCAATCACTCAATATGCTGTATTAAGAAAAGAAAATATACCACAAGGTGCATCGTGAAAAGCTCTATAATCTACAAGGAATAGCTTATTTCATATAGGGATCTTTTTGTTTTCAAAATGAAGACAATTCTATAAGAGCAGTTTTCGGCGCTGCGAAAAAGATTATTTGTTGGTACATGACGGATTACCTTTCGGTGTGGTTGTTGATATGAGACAATCGAAAATCTACATCCATACTCATCCATATCCGCAGCCTCTTCTGTAACATAACCGATGGATTTCTGTCGCTATTGCTAGAATAGACGAGCGCTAATTATATTTCACTGACATTTTTAATTGTTTAAATCTAAATTTCTCGACCATGGTTCTAAAATTTGCCGCCTTTGATAACGACGTAAAAAATGAAGATACATCTTGTCAGTTACTACTATAAAAAAAACCAAGCTCGTTCTCATTTGATTTCTACTGAACTCTAAATTTTTTAGTTAAGATTTTCAAAAATTGGTCGCTCTTCACAATATTATTTCATTCATCACAAGTTTCTTATATAGAAAGTAACCGTGAAAATGACGAAAAATTGAGTAGGCGTGGGTGTACTTTTATCCGACAGTTTCAACCATATCCTAGTTAACCATTCATCGGTGCTAAATGACCCGCAAGTGTTCGTGACTGTTTATGTGATGACTAGAATGTTGTTTAAAAAAAAGCAGGCCATTTCAGAAATTCAACAATAAAAAAAGGTATTAAAATGTCACTTTCATCATCCACATATTTATGGAAATGATTAAAACGCTTACCAAAGCAGGAAAATATTACGTGTACAGATACAAAATTTTATAGAAAGACAGATGTGTAGGTGTGTGCCTCTATTTCAACGCTCACTCACCAAGATATCCATTCAGGTTTTTCGTTCTTCTTTTATAGTTAAAATTTCTTGTCTAATTAACAGATTTTATTGGCAAAAATCTTCAAATCTTTTTGAATCAGTTAGATCAAATAAACTGGAGAAAGAATGTGAAAAGTTGCTAATAAATGAAGGATGAATAATTGCACAGTATCGAACCACGAACCTTTCTACGATAGAAATTCTTTTATGCCAAAACTATGATCACGAGACCGAGAAAAAATGCACATGTTCCAAGAAATTAGTGCAAAAACCTTTCGTCAATGTGATATGGAATAAGTTTGTTTTAGTTTTGGTTTTGGTTTTATTGTCAATAAAATTTCATTGTTTGAAATATGGCAACGAACTTTACTATGACAAGTTCATTGAAGCCACAAAGTAATCCAATTAGTTTTATATTCAACGGTAAATAAATCTTCTTGGCATAAATGGCTATGATTAATAAGCCATTGACGAAAGTTTTTACTCATTTCATCTGTTAACGACCCATTGATGTAAAGACTACGTAGGTTTTTATCTCTCCATAATAATATCACTTTTAGAATAAGTGAATCGACGAAAACTGTTGGATTTTTCAAGGCTAGACTAAGATCACGAAGATGATTAAATTTTTGTGCAATGCCGTCTAATTGAATAGAGTCCACTTCTTGAAAATCAGTGATTTCAAGATCTACAATTCCTTTGTTTAATAATTCACAGGTAGATGCATCGTCGAGTACCATACTTAAACAATTGAAATTGATGTTTAGATGCTCGAGATTGGGAGCAGCTCGAACTAGATGAAATATTTCATATGTTCCCTTCACATAGAGACTCTTGAGTTGAGGTAAATGCAAGATGACCGGTTGAGTTGATTGAAAAGTAACTATAGAGAAAAAAAAGTTAATAATAATTAATTGAAAAACTAAAACTGGAATTTGAAAATTTGATTTTTCATGAATCAAAATAGAACGTAGATCTTTCTCGAAATGGAAAGTGAAAAAAAGACTCGTTTGAGAAAATCAATATTAGAATACAATGTCGAACATGTAGAAAAATAAAAAAAATGACATGTTTCTTTTTATTCTTCTTCATGTTTCACTGAAACTGAGTATATCTACATATCACATTGAATACTTGTAACTATTCTTCATATGGGATATATTAAAAATAGTAATACAATCAAAAAAAAAATCCAAATTGCTTCACTTCACTTTTGTAAAACACGATCTTATCACGGATAATGATCAACATAAAGAAAACTTTGATATACGATTAAAGCGGTTCCATCATCCTTCAAGTTTTAACCCCATAGAACTTATGTTGAAATATGTCATCAATGAGGCATTTTTTTTCTTGACGATAGAAAAAATTTCAAAGTACTTTCTTTAAAGAAAACTATGAATTGACTTCAATAAAAGATGCTACTTTTTCCTTATTTGTGAACAAAATACTTTTCTAAAGAGGATACTCAGATGATTGAAAGCTTTCAAATTCATACGTGTTCTAATATTAGAAGACTGCTAGACTATAACAATCTTCAAGGCGGCTTTTATTCTTCTTAGGTTTTAACCAATCTATTGAATTCGTAACAGATTCTTCTGTTTAGGAGTCTGTTTTTTCATCGATATAATGTAGCATATGAACATTTTGAACAACTCATATTTCAGAAAGATTAAATTGAAAAATTTTCAAAGTTTGTAAGCAAGTTAGTCTAAGTGAGACCTTAATATAGACAAAGTTTCATGTGAAAATTTGATATATATTTGTTACGGTATTCGAATTATGAGGCATTTTTCTCTGCATCTATCCTACAACTAATAGATGCGTAACAACTCTTCATACAGCATAACTTCGAATTCAGACCGTTGGAGTCCATCACTAGCTTTTGCTTAGTTGACAGATTTTTTGAATTGATAATCATCGTTTTTTCACACTTGTTTATCTAATGATGATGATCTATTGAAATATCATCAGAGTCAAAGAGTCAGTTTTTTCGTAATTGAAAATTTTTCAATATTAAGATTGCGCGTACTTCTCACTATTTATGTGTCTGTTGATGAATTCATATGCTTCAATATCTTTAGCCAATGATAATATTCATCTGACGAACTTATCTGTTCTTATTTCTACTAAACATAAATTGACTTTGTTTTGTTTATGTATTCTGAGTCAATTACCAAAATCATTTTTATTTGTGTGTGCATAGATTTCTTATTGCGGATGAGATTTTCAAAAGGTAAATTTTCAATGAAAAAATATCTTATGAAGAATAACATACGTGTTTTTGAATTTTCTTTTAAGCCAATAGTGAGCGTTCGAAGTCGACGAAAGTGCTGCACAATCAGATGTATATCGGTGGAACATTGCTCGCCAAAAATGATCAAATCTTTAACCTTTCGTGTGTATTCCGAACCAGCGAGCATGGAATTAGCAATTGCTGCGGGAATAATAATTGAACGCAAGTCACAAGGAATTGTATGAATTACTGCATATTCATTCGGTTCATCTAACAAACATGTTATGTGAATATGAGTTGGCCATGAAGACAACAAAGTATCTACTTCGATATGCGAACCGAAGAAGTAATAAATAATGAATAGATGAATCTCATGAAGTGATAAAGGTAGAATTTGAATGAAGTTTTGTCCATTAATCATATGTATATCTTCCGTGCATAGATCCAATGCTAATCGTTGCAAAGAAGGCATCTTACTCAGAATGTAAGCAATTTCATCTAGTGACCAATAAATGTTTATCGAACGTAACTGAAAATTTTTTAAATGAACAAAAGATGATATATTAGCTAATGCCGATTTTGAAGTAGATGATAATTGGTGAAAGTCAATATGTAAACGATTAACATGTGGTATAAGTATGAATAGATGTTCTAACGTTTTATCTGTCTTTAAGTTTACCATCAACTCTTCGATGCTTGGATAAGAAGAAGCTTTGTCATTTTTTGTCTTAGTCAGAATAAATCTAATTGAATCATAATCGAATAATACGGATTTCAGTCGATTATTGTTAGCTGCTAGAATTTTTTCCAGTGATCCTTCTCCATGTTCATTTCGAAGATTTCTAATTTCAAGTTTGACAAGTTGCAAAAGATCTGTGATTTTGTCAAGAAATAAATTTAGTTGTCTATCAATGAAATTCACAAGTGACATTGTATGCAATTGTGGTAACATTAAAGATAGTTTCGAATGAAAGAATGTCAAATCTACTTTGTTGGGCATGATATTTTCCCATTGTCCATTGAAAATAAACGATCGTATTGAAGGACCGATTTGAGGAATAATCTGCGTCGCAACAAAATCAAACTGTTTATATGTAACATTCTTGAGATTTACATAATGACAAAAGTCGGTTATTGTCGAATTAAGACGAGAATTAAGGTTGAAAAATGAATAGAGAATTTCGGCACAACGAAGATGTTGACATACAAGTAATATCATTTCATCTGGTAACATTTCGAAAGTTGTAATATCTTCCATTTGGAACTGTCAATCTTGGAGTATGTTTTATTAGAAGAAGGTACGCGCAATTTATTTGATTCAAGATAGAACATAAACTTGAAACGTTGAATACGATGTGACTCAGACGGAAAAAAACCAAATTGTGAGACATGCATGTCGAGAAAAAAACAAAAGCCACGCATTTCTTCATAACTATGTCATGTGGATGTAAGAAAGAGAAGCGATTATTTTGCGTAGTCAGTGTGACAGTTGTATGTGTAGAAGTGTGGAGTGCAGGTATGTGTATGAGTGTTGGTAAGTGAAAAAATAAACGCATATCTGCGTCCATTCGTCGCGCAAAAACCGTATCAAACGATGATTTGCACAACATATTCTAACAAAAATTTGTTCTTAAAAAATGTGTGCAAATGTTCGACGCAGATGCTGCTTGTGGCTTTGTTTTTCAAAAGATGATTTTTTTAAAGTTATATATAGTCATTTATGAGCAACAGTACTCTGCAGTATTGCTACAATGTGCTGAAAGTCTGAGCCAAATCAAATGTTCCCCTTTCGAGTTACAAGATTCTCTTCAAATTATATTGTGCGGTTTTTATTGAGAGCTAGGAATCTTAGTTTGTTGAAGAGCCGTATATATCGAGATAAAAAATACATTCGATTTTCTACGATGCACCGTAAGTTAAGCCGTAAATGGGTAAAATTTGAACACCATATTTACGATGATTTGCGACTTTTTTCTGAAAGATACTTAATATAAATGGATTCTTCTGTGCATAATTTCAGGAAGTGCAATCATTTCCCAAAAATCAATACAAGAATCATGAAGTCACAAAGTTCAGTAGCAAATGTCAATAGAACTGTGAAATCAATCATAATAGTAAAAAAAAAATCCTTTTTCAAAAAATTACGAAGAAAACAATACAACAATGAAACTGCTTTATAAAAATAAATCAATTGATAAAATAACATACTAAATTATCCAACAGAAAAATAAAAAATAAAACCAAAAGAGAAAAAAAAGATTAAAATTCTTCCTTCATCGTGTATCAGGACACACTGTTTCTAGTAAGGAAATTCATCATCAAAGAAACAAAAGAAAGAAAATGTTTTATATCGAAATCTGTAAATTATACTGATTCGTATATCAATATATGAAAAACAGTTGCTATTTATAAATTATTTTCTTTTGCTGAGTCACTAACAAATATTTACACAGAAATGGCAAAAGAGTACAATTTTTTTCTTGCTTCCTTTCTACCCTGAAAGGAAACATGAAGAAAAAAAAATAACAACAAGTTGTTTACAATTATGCTTCAATTTATTTTATATTTTCGAACTGGGCATATATATAGAACATATAACAATGCAAGTAAACTACTCCGAAATAGTTTTCTTTACAAATTGTATGGGTGTTGGTATGTGTTAGGGTACGCGCTCACGAAGAGCGACGAACACAATAACGACGCGTTTTCTTTTCTCCCTGTTTATTCCTTTAGAAGAACAGTGTTTATATACGCACATGAGAAAACAAGGACAAAACAAAAAAGAATACAAAGGTTAATCAAGGTCAAAGAAAACAAGAGACAGAAACGAAATAAAGAAATGACCAAAGAGAAGACAATAGAGAGGATCGAGGTATATGGTATAAGAATACACTGTAACAGTATGGATTGAGACAAGACTAACACCCACACCCAGAACCACAGTCACATACCTACATTCATACTTTTTCATATATATCTTAATCGATGTAGTAACTTTTTATAAACAGGTAAAAGATGTATTCAATGGTTGAAATGATCCTTGTTCGAAATAATACAATTAGAATGAATGAGTATCTGAGTATTTACTAAAAACCTACTCTTATCTCTTTAAGGTCGTTTGAAATTAAGAGGTTATGAGGTGACGAATTTTCGCTTTTTTTTCTGCTCTTTCTCGAAACAATAAATCGATGACTGTGAGTTGAAGACACCTTGAATCTTCGGCCATTGTTTGGTCCATACTTTGTGTCACGCCTCGTTGCCACATAAGATGTAAATCGCATCTAACTGTGGCATATCATGGATGTTTGACACGAAATCTTGACCTAAATGGCCCGAAGCAATGAAAAAAACCTTTTCCAGACAGATGGTCTTAAAAAACTACATTTATTCATCTGGTTCTTTAAAAATATTGACATGACTGTTGATATCTTGTACTTATGCGAGCTTTCTTGGGCAATCTTCTTCTAATTTATCGACAGTGCCATCGACCCAGATGAGCAAATAATTTTGAGCCATGCGTCTTGTTGGTTGGGTAGTATTTAATGATTCAGTTGTTGTGCCTGCAACGAAATCCATACTTGTTACCAAAGTATTTTAGTCTTCTAGAATGAGATCAACTTTTCTATATTTTTCTACAACATCAAATATGGAATGCAGTGTAACTCAAAGACATTGAACCTATTCGTGGCAAATTTATAAGTCTTCTTAACAAACTAATGAATTTCAAAAATAACGTGCTTATGGTGTTCCTAAACCAAGATATTCGAGTTTTAAAGTATTAATCTTATATGTATAATGTCCACAATTCCAATTTTCAGAAGATTCGTTGTAACTGTTTTTCATAATGGTAAGATAGAGCTCATTGAGTTATGTAAGAACACGAAATGCTTCGAACTCACTAAGAAAATTTTACGAAACTCAGAAGTTTCAGTATATTTTCCCTTTTATTTCGAAAGGATGGTATATTGAATTTTTTTCGTAAAACTTGCTTAGCTACTTTGAAACATTACTTTTTCTTATGCAATTCGATGAGCTCTATCCAACCATCATGAAAAACAATTAAAAAGAATTTTCTGAAATCTTGAATTGTGTACGAATATCTCAGTTCAGCAACGCCATTATCACGTTATATTTTAAAGTCGTTAGTTTGACGTGTGAGCTCTTATATTTGACTCAAATATGTTCAATATCCTTGAATTACAGTATATAATCTTCAACTGTTAGTTTTATTTGAAAATATGGTTGTCCACAATAAGCGACAGAAAAAAAACCCAACACTGCCATTTGTTGTTCTTTACAATTTTCGTTTGCTTTTCATCTATACAATGACTTAAAAGTGACCTTGTGTTGAATACATTGTTTATTTTTCTTGCCACTTTTTCAGCACGAGTTTCGTCTCTTTCTGACAAGAGCGAAAAAAAACAAAAACATCGTGAATTTGACTTTTTTCTCATTATGATTAGTGTAACTCATATTGTGTGTTAGGATTGTTTGCATTGATGTAAGTTAAAGTATGATGGCTTGTGATAGTAGTCGTTCTAGCACCAAACAAAAGCCCAACTCCACTCCACGCTCAAACTCACACCAACCTATACCATCCTATTCACACGTTAGTAACGTTCCTTGTTTCTCATGTTAAAAACTAATTTGAAACTTCTCATCGTATATTTAAACATTTTTTCATAAGAAAGTCTTTGTGAATAAAAAGATATAAAAAAAAAAATGGAAAACAATATCACAATCGAAAAAAAGAAAGAAAAGACTACAAAAAGCTAACGTGAACTAATAATCAAAAAGTAAAGATAATTGCTGATAATGTAAATGTTAAATTATTTTATTCTACGTGGACCCAATCTTTACTGTCAGGTTCTTCTTTATTTTCTTGAACACGTAATTTTTTCATGGAACGTGTAACACGATCACTTGCAAGTTGTGTTGGTGTTGGACCCAAATCAAAATCATCAAAATCTGATCGAAGCCAATCTATCATTTCTGTTTTAAATACAGGTGGTGGTGGTGGTGGTGCTGTTGTTGTTGGTTGATCTTCATTTGAAATTGTTGCCATGTCAGTTGTTGCTGGCAATTTATCATCTTGATCGTGATCAAAATCATCATAATATTGTGCATGAATTTTATAATGATTTTTCATACGATATGCTGATGGAATATATTGATTACATACTTTACATGTACGTTTTTTTAATTCTTTTTTAACTGATGAACAACAATAATCAAATGGTACCATTTCATCCTGAAAAGAAAAATTTTTGATTTTAATTTTTTTTCCAAATGTGAATAGAGAGAATGAGTCAATGGCGTGACAAAAGATTTGTTTTTTTTTTCAAGATAAACCAGTGATATGGGTTGACAAATGTAAACAATGAACTTTAGTTTTGTTTCTTATTGTTAGCTATTGATCAGGGATGGGCGAGTCCGAGTCAAGACTCGGACTCGACTCGGACTCGGAAATCGGATGATCTTGACTCGACTGTGTGACTCGAGTCATTCACTCGAAAAAAATTTCATTTGCTTTTATAAAAAAATCACAACATATAGAACTAAATTTTTTCTGATTCGCAATTTTCATTCTAATGAAATATACGGCATTAGAACGTTCTCTTCAAAAGCTTTATTCCACTTATTTATCTGATCGTAAATCTTAGTCTACACATATTACAGGATGCATATATATGTATTGTCTCCTTCTGTTTTGTTTTGGATTATCTGTGAAGCGAAAAAAGACATTTGTATATGAGTAAGCATTTCTTTTTAAACACCAAAAACTTGAGCTTTAATCACTAAAACTGTCTAACTGTGGNCAGAGAAGAAAGTACAGATTATTACTCGTTATATAAATTACTGTTTTCATATTTAGGGTGTGGGTGTGTGAGTGTGGGTATGGGTGTGGGTGTGAGTGTGGGTGTAGCTATAGATCTTTCCTTTACTCACACCCATACCCACCCACACCCACACTCACACCCACACCCACACCCACACCCCACATCCACACGCACACACCCAGACCCAGACCCACACCCACACCCACACCTACACCCCACGCCCACACCCACACCTACACCCCACGCCCACACCCACACCTACACCCATACTCGACCTCCACCCCCCCACCCACACCCACACCCACATCCTACTGATACTGAATTCAAATAATAAAGCATATGCGCATCATTTATATATAGAAAGAAAACAAAATAGCTGACCTTGAAATTGAGAAATAATAAAATCATCATAAATGAACGATTTACACCATTCGACTACTTGTTCACAAGACCAATTCATTTTGTACTGTTAAAAATATTTCTAAACATAGAGAATTTAAAAATATAAAGAAATTAAAGAATTTTCTATCATGATTATGTTGAACACAGTTATTTATATTACATAAAATTCCAATTCATTTTAGTATAAAACATTCTGAATCTGAAATAAAAATAAATCATTTCGTTTATTGCCTCTATGAATTTCTATTATATGATTATCTATCTAATCACAACAATAATCAGTAGATGGTGTTATCAACCATATAAGTCAACATCATTTCGATATAGATATACATTAAGCTTGATCGAAATGGTTTCAGATAAGATAATGTAAACAATGGTTGACTCAATATTCATAATCGTATCAACTTGTTCCACAAATTTATATGGAAAGACCACTCTAAGAATGACACTTGATCACTGAATAAGCAGATTAATAATTAATTTTAAAATAATCAAGGAACAATCAAAATCCGAAAATAAAAAAATTAAGTTTTTACCATAGAATAAAAACCCTTTTCATGAAAAAGTATATTGATATACCCTTGGACGTAGAATAAAAAACCCTTCTCATGAAAAGGTATATAAATAAACCCTTCTGCTTAAATCTCAGCACCATAAACCCTTTTTTTATCAGTCATAAGCCCTTATTTTTTTCATATACCCTTATTATAATAAACCTTTCTGCTCATAAACCCTTAAAGGGTTTATGTTGATGTGCTAAACCCTTTAAGGGTTTAGCAAAATTTTCTTGTAGTACTAGGGTTTAGGATTCTACGTTTTTCTTACAGTGTAGAGCAACGTATAATAAAGAAACTGTTTTGATAGTAGAAACACAGCCTTCTTATATTCCCGAGAAGGATCAGGGTTCAAAATTTGACCGAAAAAAAGATAGAATATTAGTGACAAAAGACATAATTTGCCACTCAGGTATAGAATTTTGATCAAAAGTGCTTTATTAGATACTGAATTTCAAGTCGAAAATAGTATCGTCAGAGAGAGCACATTGATTGACACACTTGGTTAAAATATCCACTTGGTATTACAAGACCGGAAAAATTATTACGAGAGGGAATATGACCCGATCGGAGTGGTATTTGGCAATTATCGATAGCAAAAAAACAATTCTACATCAAATGAGCCTAACTTCGACGATATTAAATAGCATTTGATGAGTTTTCTGATCAAAAATTGGTTTTTACAGCTTTCAGAGAGTGCTTCAGATCTTTCTTATTATTTGAGTACTTTTGAAAAAAAAAGTGATATTTGTAATGAGAGGACTTAGCGTTAGTGCCATCGATCTATAGAGACTTGTAAGAGAATGATGAAAAAAATTTTTTGTTTTTCAATACCTGAGGAGAATCCACATGTAAAAAGCTGACTTGTGATATAATACAAAATAAAAATCAGAGTTCAATGCTGAGTCTCAAACTAATAAAATTAAGTTCAGATTTTTCCGGTTCCCAATTCGTAAGTATCTTGTTTTACTTCAGCTTACTTTTTTGGTACAATAGAGATATTTCACTTTACTTTAGTTTCCTTTTTTAAAATAAAATAAAGATAGTGCCATTATTAGTGTCTTCTCTTCATTATCATATGTACATCTCACACCCACCCATTCTCTCAAATTCTGTATTTTTTAGTTGAAGAGTAAGCAATGTTGAAAAGTATCAAGATTATAATAATAAAAATGTAAAATAAAATCATTAAAAAAGAAGATATGTTATTTGAAATCATTTCTTAGTTATTAATACGATCAACATTTGATTTGTCTTTTGATAAAATTTGATTACTTTGGTCATTTGTGAGAGTGTGAGTGAAGAGAAGATACACACAGCACCCACACCCAACGGTTACGGAAGCCAGATACAAGCTCTACATGTCTAAAGGAATGAAAGAGAAAAACTCTTCGTCAATGTGATCCGATATAAAGTTTGTTATTTTTGTTTTATTATCAATAAATTTTCATCATTTGACAAATGACAACAAATTTTAACACATCTAGTTCATCGAAGCCATATAGTAATCCAATTGACCTTGTATTCAACAACGAATAAATCTTCTTGACGTAAATGACTATGATTGATTAGCCAGTGGCGAAGATTTTTACGCACATCATCTGTTACTGAACCTCTAATGTAAAAGCTACGAAGATTTTTATCTCTCCACAATGAAAGAACTTGTAGAATAAGCGAATCGATGAAAGCCGTTGGGGTTTTCAAGGATAGATTAAGATCACGAAGATGATTAAACGTTCTTGCAATGACTTCTAATTGAGTCGAGTCAGTTTCGAGAAAATGGTTAATATCAAGATGTACAATTCGTTTTTGTAATAATTCACTCGTAGATACATCTTTAAGTACAACATTTAAACAATTGAAATCGATTTGTAGATGCTCAAGATTAGGAGCAGCTTGAACTAGATGAAATATTTCACATATTTTCTTTACGTAGAAACTCTTCAGTTGAGGTAAATGCAAGATTATTGGCTGAGTTGATTGCGAAATAACTATAGATGAAAGAAATTAATAAGTATTACCTACACCCATATCTACATATTACATTAGATACTTATAGTTACTTTCTACATTGGGTTATATTGAAAATAGAATTATAATTAAAATAGTTCAATATCTTCATTTTACTTTTGTGAAATATGATCTCATTATGGATCGTGTCTCGTAAAAATGACGTTAAAAACTTTCATCAATCACACTATATATTGAGTTTTCACCTAAATTTATGTAGATATTTGAGTCCGAATTAGAGATTAGATCACGTAAAAGTTTTCAGAATTTTTCGATTTAATATTTTTGGGATATGAGTTGTTCCAAATCTCCTTGTTTTACATAATGTCGATGGGGATATGTCTGACTTTGAAAAAACTCATATCTCAGAGACGTTAAATAGAAAACATTTGAAATTTTTTAAGCAAGCTGATCTTATCGAAACTCGAATGCAAACCAAGTTTCAAGTCAAACCTGGAAATTAAAATTTTACGGAAAAAATACGGTGACAAAAATGCAAACTTTCACTATGACCACAATATCTCGATTACAAACTCAATTCTCAATCATGTAAGCATCCTTCTTCGAAAATATTTTGCTCACAAATGAGAAAAAATAACATCTCTTTATTAAAGTCTGTTCATGGTTGTCTTTTAAGAAAATACTTTGAAATTTGTTCTATCATTGAGAAAAAAAACTAGCCTGAAACAATATACGAATGGTGGAATGTCTTTTATTTTAGCCTAATATGCTACGACGAATATTTGTGTGACAATTCTACATAAAACATAGCTTCAAATAGCTAATTTTATTGTTAATAAGTCAATATTGATCTGAAGAAAAGACGTGGGGTGTGGGTTGAGATAACATTGAAGAGGCTCACACCCTTCTTTATGTATTCTGAGTGAATAATTTCTTATGCAGAACTACATACCTATTTCTGATTTGTTGTTTAAGCCAATGGTGAGCGTTCGAAGCCGATGAAAATGTTGCACTATCAAACGTATATCAATTGATGATTGCTCGCCAAAAATTGTTAAATCTTTAACCCTTCGTGTGTAATTTGAACCCGTCAACATAGAATTAGCTATTTTTGCTGGAATGACAAGTGAAAGGAAGTCACAAGGAATTGTATGAATTACTGCATATCCACTCGGTTCATCTAGCAAACATGTTATTCGAATATGAGTTGGCCATGTAGAAATTAAAGTATCTACTTCGATGTCCGAACAAATTAAATAACAAATAATGAACAAATTGATCTCGACAAGTGATAAAGGTAGAATTTGAATGAAATTCTGTCCATCAACAAGATGTGCATCTCTTGTACATAGATTCAATGCTAATCGCTGCAAAGATGGCATCTTACTTAAAATATAAGCAATTTCATCTAATGACCAGAGTACCTTTAGCGAACGTAATTGAAAATCTTTTAGATGAACAAGAATTGATGTATTTGCTAATTTCGATTTTGAAGTAGATGATAGTTTGTCAAAATCAATATGTAAACGCTTAATATTTGGTACAAGTGCAAATAGATATTCTAACATTTTATTTGTTTTCAAGTTCACTAACAAGTCTTCAATGTTTGGATAAGCCATAGTTTTGTCATTTTTAGTCGCACTCAGATTAAAATCGACTGAATCATAGTCGAATAATACGAATTTCAGTCGATTATTGTTAGCAGCTAGAACTTTTGTCAATGATTCTTCTGCATGACCATCTTTAAGATTTCGAATATCCAGCTTGACAAGTTGTAAAAGATCTGTGATTTTATCAAGAAATAAATGTAGTTGTCCATCAATGAAATTTACAAGTGACAATGTATGCAATTGTGGAAACATTAAAGATAATTTCAAATGATAAAATGTTGAATTTAGTTTGTTGGACATAATATTTTCCCATTGTCCATTGAATACAAACGATCGTATTGATAGACCAATTTGGGGAACGATCTGCGTTGCAACAAAGTCAAACTGTTTATATGTAGCATATTTGAGATCCACATAATGCCAGTAATCGGTTATTGTAGAATTAAGACGAGAATTAAGGTTGAATAATGAATAAAGAATTTCGGCACAACGAAGATACTGACATACATGTAATATCATTTCATCTGGTAACATTTCGAAGATTGAAACTATTTCCATTTGAAATGATTAATCTCGTAGTATGTTGAATTAATAATAGAAGGCACGTGAAATTGATTTGATTCAGCACAAAACATGCGCTCAAAACATTGAATACGATCTGACTCAGACGAAAAAGAACAAGTTGGGAAGCATATTTGTCAAGAAAAAAAACGAAAGCCATGTGCCGCTTTATATGTAGTTGATGAAAATGCAAGAAAGAAAGACGATCATGTTGACTTAGTATAAAAGTTGTGGATGTAGAAGTGTGTGTTGCAAATGTGCGATGCACCGCTTAATTTATTGTCTAAAAGACGTTTCTTTCTGAAGAATGTGTGAAAGAGTCACTACAGGAGTTTTTGTGGAAATTTGTTTCTTCAAAAAAGAACAAGTTTAGTTTGTTAAGAGTGACTTTTTAATTGATATATAATCACTTTTTGAGAAGTAGAAACTCATTCCCGAGTAAGAAATTTACATGTTTGTCTGGTATGAAAAAGTTGTCAAGTGTGGATTGTTTGAACTCTAGCTTTTTAAAGAACTTCATATATCGAAAAGAAAAAAAAATATCATTAGGTAATCAAAGCTATCTGCATCGCCATCAAAATCATCTATCCGATTATGATCATCAGATATTCAGATTTTTAGCAATTTTAATCCAAAAACTTTTTCATTGAGATAAAACATTCTATTTCTCAAAAAAAAAGAAGAAAGAACTTATATAGAGAGACAGTAAAACTATTTTTGCTTGATTAAATAATCTATGACCAAGCTATAAGGTTATTAAGGTACTAGAAATTGATAATTTGATAAATTTAAAAATTCAATAGTAAGTGTGAGTGTATGGTGTGAATAGAAGGCCTATACCCACATTCTTATTGCTATTGCGAACAATCAAATAAAAAACTTGCAAGTAAATGTATTTGCTTGAAGAATAAAATAGAAACAAAACTGAGTAAATTAATGAGATATCTAGTCAGGTGATACAACTATCTATGCCACTAGTGATGACTTGAGAAGTTGTCACAGACATTAGTGATAGACTCGTACGGGCGAACACCTCCACTTGGAAAATTATAGAAAAAATAAACGTTGTTTTAGAGGCACATTTCAAAATAAAACTAACATCGATCCACTCATGGTGTATGAGCTCTCATCCATGATCTTGAAACCAAGTATTTAAGTATCCAGACAGACTTGCTTCTGAATATTCATTCTATGGCCTATCCACTCTCGCATCATCAGTTACTACCTAAGTATGAGATTCTCTATAACATCGACAGCCATCGTATCCTCACATCAGTATCCATACATAGACAGTTTACCTACACCCTCTAAATCAAGCTTATCCTAATCCTTATACCTGCCGCCATAAATCTCTCCCTTCCAACTAATTCTCAGCCTCGCCAACTCGAATCCTCATGCACAAGAGAGTGTGACCTGACTGAGTGAGAGTGGGGGAAAGTGTGTTGCTTGTTTTTTTAAAGAATTCATCTATCTGAAAACATATTTCAGTCTAAAAGCATGACTACATCTATACTAGACATAGTAGTCATAAAAATCCATGTTTCATCATTATATTTACAGTTTTCTGTACATTGTTCAGTAGAAGGACTAGATTTTTCTCAGGAAAAATTCAAAACATCGAAAACAGACGCTTCCATTTTTTAATTAATCATTAATTAGAAGAAGTAATAAACAATATCTTTTTTTCAAAAATCAGTTGTTGTTACGCATCAGAGACCTTCACTAAACATTGCAATTTGTACTTTAATAATCGTTGTTAACATTTTCTTTGATCATAAACTTTCGTCCTTTTACATCTAACGACGTAAGTTAGTTGATTATATACTGTGTGTCACTACTATTTCCATAAATACTTGCTGAATATTCAAGCCGAAATATAAAGATAGAGAGTAGATTTCTGAATATTTTCGACATCCACAATCAGTTTTTAGGTATGCCCTTTGTCTAGTTTTTTTTTATCATTACGCTGTCTATCATCGTTTTCGTCTTTTTTTCTGATTTTAAAATGCGGCGAAACTAAGAAAACTTTCATCTATCGTCGTTGATCAATGTATCAGTTCCCATCTCTGCTCGCAACCTACTCCTTAGCACAACGGATAAGCTTATGCATAGAGAAAACATTCGAAGAGAAAAAGCTTTCTATGATAATATGATGAAACATTTAGGATTAATATTTTCGATGGAGAAATTCGATGTTCCCAAGCTTAATTATAAAGAGCTTGAGTCGAATTAAAGTTCCTCAGCTATTGTCTCATTTATTTTATTATATAGAACACCTTCGATTTTTAATGTAATAATTATGTAAGATCTGTTAATTTCCGAAGTCAAATATCGAAAGAGGGTGTGGATGTGGCTAAATAGAAAACCCATACTCCCGACACTTTTAAAAAGGTGATGGACTAGATGTGAATATTTAAAAGAAAAAATAAACAATAATAGATAATAGCAGCAGTATTTGGTGTCACATCTCGTCAGCTTTGTGTTCACAATACTTATAGATTGCAAAAACGAAACTAAAAACTTTCCAACAATGAGTATCTTACAGTGAACACGTATGGCCGTTTGGTTCATTCTAAACAATTTTGACTTTGAATGACACTCTACCCGCCTATTTTTTTCTCTCTATACAAAGATAATATGTTACATTCCTAGTTTGCTATTCTATTTCGTATGTTGTGTTACTTATTGATTTTGTTTTCTAGGCTCACCATGTGGGGATACAAAGTAAGAAAACTTTTTTTTTTTTTTTGTGTAACAATAATATTTTATTTTTGGAAAATTTAAGTTTGTACTAAATTCACATCTTATAAATTCATCCGGTTGTTTTTCTCAGTACTGTTCAAATTCTATTAACAATGACAATTATTAATAATGATCTCATTTGTATCAATTTCATTCTACAAAAATCGGGTCTTTATTTTATTAATATATTTATTGGAGATCAATATTTTTCGAAGATACAAAAATTATTAATCTCATTTAATAGTTTTTTTAGCATATGTCCATTGACGAAGAATCATTTGAATTTCTGATCAATGCATTTATCATTTACTTTTACATGATCTTTATATATATTTCGTATTCATTGCCGTAGACAATGAGAACCAATTGAAGCGAAGATATTTAGTATGAAATATTGTTACTTAGAATAGAAAACTATTTTCCTTTTGTGTTTTTAGATCTATCTGTTGATGATAATTATGATTTTGGACAAAAAAATTTATTTCAGTTACTTGAAGCTTATGAACAAAACTTCTTATTGCTCACTTAAGACTTACACAGGAAAGAATTCAGAATTTAATACTTAAAGAAAGAAAAATGTTTTATTGAATTGTTTGCAATTTTTGAGAGGCTTCTGTTAAGTTTCAAGCTCATGAGAGAACTACCCGAAGTGACAGTCACCATTGGAGCTCCTATTGAACCCCCAAGTCGGTCTTAGTGAGACTAGCAAAATTTTACTAGGGTTTGTCCCCATGGATCTTTGGCATCGTGCATTTGGCCCATATATGTACACCAACCTTTAGCATATCTCAAAATTGAGTTATCAAATGTTCAAGTGAACTCCGTTTTCTTCTATGACACGTTTGTGGCAAAGAGCTATTTTCCGAAATTTAATATCTTAACGAAGGAACATTCTTTTTGGGTGAAACTCTCCGGATATTCTAAGAGTCATATGACCTATCTAGAATGAAAGTTTTAGATCGAAACTTCATGATTTGATTTTTCGGGATTTATCCAAAAATGAGTCAAAAATTTAGTAAATCGATAATGACTTGGTGTCAAAGATCAATGAGGATGAACCTTTTAAGATTTTTTTCAGTCTTACTGGGATTTCTTCGGTGCCCAATATCAGTTGAAACGGTAGGTATTAGTTGGAGTAATTCTCTAATTAGTCGAAAAAGAATTTTCGTTTTTAATGATCTTGAGACATTTGAAATCTAAGAATAAGAATAAAAGTTTTTTTCGCAATATTCTGTTTAAAAGTAATATAAACGCATTCTTCCTTTTCTTGTCGTTTTTATAATTAAGTCAATAAATCGATTATTTATTCATATTTTTTTTGTTTAATAGGTTTGAAAGATGAGTCAATCGATGTAAAATTATTTCCACAAACAAATGGGAGTATAATGGATGAATTTACACAAAAAAAGCTGTTAAGTAAAACGACAATTTCAATTATTCAGCGATTTTGTTCATTGGGTCAGCATCTTATTGACATTACATTTGATAATATACTTATACAAGACCGTCTGTTTTATATTGAAGTGTCTCTTTCAATTCTCGGACTTTCGATGATTATTTCAACACATAAACTATGAAATCATCTAACAGAACATTTAACACTTCTTGCTTCCTTTTGTTATGATTGAATACAATTTCAAACTTTCGTGTCTGCATTTAAAGGCGTCACCAATTGACTGCTTTCTATCTATCTATACACAAATTTTTCTTTTGCTTTCGCGTGCATTATAGCATGTTTACTCTCATAATTTCTTTCAAGTCACAACAGAGAATGAAATGCGTTGTTGATGATCGTGAAAACATAAAATCGATATTAACAGTCTTTCTTAAAGCAAAACAATCCATTTGCAAACATAAACTCTAGCAAACAGTGTTGAAAGAAAAACATTCCAATAGTTTTCGACAATGATTGCTTCGATTGGATCATTGTTGTACAGATCTACATCGACAAAGCAAGCTAAAAGATGCCAACAGCTGGGGAAAACATGGCTCCATATATTCCTCGCTATAAACTTGCTTTTCAACAGGTAACTTAATTAAAATATACATACAAAGAAGAGTCTGTCGAAAATACCAAGACCTAAAATTCAGCATTGCATGCTTTGATCAAATCGCAAAGCAATTTGATCTATCATAGACCACAACATATTTTTCTTTTACGTGGGCTTTATTGATAATCTCGTATTTTGAGCAGGGTCAACTAGCTAAACCTCCATCAGTCATCAAATCTATGACACACAAGCAGTTCACGGATT